TCTGCGTTGCCCAAATCGTCAACTGTTAGCCCTTGAATGGAGCCCTGCAAAGCTTTGGCCTTCCCTCCTCCTTTCAAAGTGAGGTCAAGGCCCCGCAACTGAAGTCGAAGCAAGCGCCGAAGCTCTTTTTCCTTGTTGAGCAGGATGGAGACGGTCCTTAGCCGGGTGCTAAGTCGGAAAGAAGACAACGAAATGGAAGGCTGGGTCTGGTCGGTGGAAGACGTAGAGGAGTAGAGGGAGAAAAGGTGGCCAAGGCCCTCGGTGTAGGAGGGCGTTGTATCCTCTCCCAACGTTGGAAAACTCCGCCCTTCCTCGTGAAAGTCTGAGGGTGGTATTCGATCTACTCGTGCACGCCCTCTCGATTCGACGACGACGTTCCCTCGGTCTCGAAGCTGTCGGCTTTCTTCCTCTTCTTCTCGTGCATTCCGGACACTTTCCTGCTTTTGTGCCGCCAAAAACCGCTGTAATGCTGCAACGGTCTCGGGGTTCCATTGCACCTGGACTGGATGGACCGCGATATCCACCTCAGTTGATTCTTCTCGCTGTCCGCCACAAGTCCTACTTCTCAACAAGTTCTCCCCTCTCGTTGCATGCACAATTGCAACGCTCAGAAGCGAAACACCCTTCCCCGCATCTTCCATTGCTTCCCCCACCTCGTCGTGCAAGGGGCCAAAGAGTGATGAGAAGGACGCATCGGCGAAGTGATGACGGTCTTTGATTTCGACGAACGCAATCTCCAGGTTTATGGATGTGGTGGCCGTGGCGGCCTCTTGGTAGTCAGAGGCGAATATGCGGCCCTCAATTCCTTGCACTGCCACGTCCACCAACGGGAATAGAGAAGAAGGAGAACACGGGAAATTCGAGGAGGCACCAGATGGGAGAGGGCTCACGAGATCATCGACCAAATGGAGGGCAATGTTGGGAGCCGTGAATGTAATATTTAGTACACGGCCCGCCTGGTCATGGGCCTCTCTTTCCTCCTCTTCAGCTGATATTCCATCTTTGACCCTCGCATGATCCTGCTTGCCCATAGCAGGCGTTGAGTCGACATTCGCGCTTAATTCCTCCCGCGGAGCCTGAAGGGCAGCAGTTGAATTGTACCGCAAGTCTTTCTCCCTAGCCCCTGTCTTCTTTGTACCCAACTTCCTTCCTTCGTCCCTACACCTTACCCGCCGACCATGCCGATCATTCTCAGGAGTGTCGGCAAGGATTTTAGCCCTGGCCTGTGACCGACGACGGTGGAACACACGGTGGAAATACTGGATGGTGGATGCCCTCAGGTTGACCGCCAGCCGGGGCAGGGAAGCTTGAATGGAGGCATGCGTGGAGGCGCGCGCGGCGATGTCGTGACATGCCTGGATGTCAAGGGTGAGATCAAAGGGCTCCACGATCGGGTGCAGGTCGACGTCGTTTTCCTTGTATTCGAGGAATAGGGCACCCAATCGACACATTTCCACGGCCATGTGCTGCATTCTCAGGGTCCAGGCCGCTGTATCTGCCTCATCTTCCTTCCCTTCATCCTGCCCGTGCTCGCGGTTACAAAGCACAACACAGCCCAGGTCTAATACGAGCAGTTGTCCTTCCTCTGCCCGGGTTGTCTCTGGAATCAAAATCAACGGCGCTTGAATATCAATGTCTAGCAGGATTCGCCCTCGATCCGCAATGCGAGAGAGTAGGCGGGCTCGTTGCCGGGCCTGCCATTCCTGCACTCCATGGCGCACTCCTTCCGTCCCACCCTCACTTTCTTCCTCTCCCTTGCGGGGGGCCATGGAGGGAAGAGGAGGCATGCAAACGTGCCGGAGGGCCTCCAGTAGCCGACGGGAGTAGAAGACCTCAAATGGCAGGACACGACAGGAGACCGCGAGATCACGACCACCTTCCTCGCAACCCTTGTTGTAATGGATTTGAAGATCAGCGTTTTTGGGGACACGGTACGTGCCCACCACCATCATGGCCGGGGGGAGGGAAGGCGGGAGGGACGTCGCAGGGGTAGGGGCCGCCCGTCGGCGGATCTTGCGGGTCACCACCGTTCGATACTTGGTCAGCGGGTCGAGGTCTAGAACCTCCAAGGCGCCCAAGGCCATGGTCACGGACCAGGAAAAGGGCCGGAGGAGAAAGGTGCTGGCGGCATCCACCACCAACCGGGCCAGGGGCCGAGTAGGCGAAAGGTACAGGGTGCAGGAACCCTGATTGAGGGAGAGGCTCAGGCGGGTGATGACATACGTAGGGGGAATCGTCACCTGCGCCAGGGTTCGGGCGTAATCCAAAGCCGTTTCCTCCAGAGCCAAGCGGTCAGCGGCAGACACCAGCTCCGGGTCCTGGGGTTTCCCTTCCGTGGTTTCCCCCGAGCCGGGCGGAGCTATCGCCCCGTCGTCTCCACCGTTTCGGCCTCCCTCCCGTTCGAACCACGACTTAACCCATCCCACCACGGTCGACTCTGCTTCCTGCTCAGCTTGGGGTCCAGCAAGCCCACCAATCTGGGATGCATCGGCGTCCTTTGGCCTCGCCTGAGCCACAAGCCGAAGGAAAACGATCTCCTCCACCTCCAGCCGATCGTCCAGGTCTTGCAAGCTCTGGGCCTCGGCAGGGAGGAGGAGGGCCCGGCGAGGGTGGAGACGGAGATAACGGTGCCGAGTCTGGACGAGGGATACGAGCTGCGGCCAGGTAGGGAGGTGGGGGGGATGAACGGGGAGCGGTAGACCGGAGCCGAGCCGGTGGGGTGGGGCGAGCGGGACGGGGAGGGAAGGCAAAGACGGAGCGAGTCCGCCTGCATCCTGCGGACCGGTCGAAGGAGTAGTCTGGGAGTGGGCAACGGAGGGACTGATGGCAATGTCTCCCGCTAAAGCTTCTTTGCCGCGAAGGACTCGACCCGCCGCATACTGCCACCATCCCCGAGGGTCGTCAGTGACGCGCCCAAGAGGCCGACGCCTCCCCTTCCACCCATCCTTGCCCGACCTGTCCCCTGCCAGGTCCTCCCACACTCTTCTTGTCGAGGTCAGTGCATGGACAAGCGCCCGAAGGCAACGAATTTGCGCCAGCGTCGTCCCCACGTGGACGTCGGTCAGGTGGCAGGAGAGGTCGTGCTTGGGCCGCTTGGGGGAGAGGGGCACCGGGCGCGCGATCAGCATGAGGGCGCCCGACGTGGGGCGGAGTAGATAATCATGCTTGACCAGCGTCGTCACGGGCAAAGGGTGGAAGCCGGGGGCGACAGTCGAGGACGGGCGGGAAGGCGGGAGGGAGGACGGGACCCACGGAGGGCTGTGCGGGTCGCAGTAGAGGGCTAGGTTGGTGACCAGGGCCCGTTTTCGCACCGTGGTTGCTCTTGTGCGCACATCCATGCCTGCTTTCCCGCCACTTTGCCCTTTGCTCAATCCACGCGCCGACGCGTCCACTTGCCCCTCCTCTCCTTCTTCCTCTTCCTCCCCCTCGTCGTCGATGCCTTCCTCCCCCGGCGCAGAATGGTTCTCGATAGTAAATTCCTCCATTTCCAGACCCAAACCCAAGAAATCCTCTTGCAGATGTCCATGGCAACGCACAGGGCCCGCGGGCTCTTCCTCCTCCACTTCGTTCCCCTCTATTCTGTGCCCGCAGTCATCCCCGATTTTCTCCCTTTTCTTAGGCGCCTCACCGGCGGCATCGCCACCGGCGGCTGCCCCTTCTCCATCTTGTTGCTTCCGAACGAAACTTCCTTCCTCTTTGTACTCGAGCCGCACGTGGACATTACTCAGACGAAGCTGCACATTCTCGAGCAGAGAGGCAAACAACCGCTCTGCCAACCCTCGCCGTTCCTGCTCCTCTTGCACGCTGACGCCATTTCCTTCCCCGTTTCGCTGTTTGCTCGCTTGCAAATACCTAAGACGCTCCTGCACTTCTCTCTCTTTGGCCGCCCGTCGACGTCGCAGGGCTGTGCGACTTGCTCCTCCCCCTCCACCATCCCCTCCGTCAGCTCCGCGCGAGCCCTCCTCGGTCAGTACTCGGAAGACCAGCGTGACATCTTTGAGTGTAATGACCAAGGGCTTGGTACCAAATGCATTCCATGGCACACTCAGGTGGAATGTACCCACTCGACCCCATGCCAAGCCCAGGGGTATAAGCCCTAGGAGGTCGTCGACAGCAGCGCCTTTCACCCGTAAATCATGGAGCAAAATCTCCCCCTTCCATAAACCGACGTTCAGGTTGTTCTGGTCGACCCCATCGACGAAGTGGCCGACCCTCGAAGAGAGGAAGCGGGCTAGGAGGCCTTCAAGCATAGAGGCTACAAGACCTCAGTCGGATCAGCATAGGAGAAATGCTCAAGACGTGCCCGTTACTCGGTATGATGTGGGAGAGTTTACTCGATTGCCTGTTTCAATGTAAAAAGCCCCAAGGAACGCCCTCTCAGTAATCGATGACGTTAAAAGGAGGGATGGAATGCCTGGACAGCGCGGACTTCACTGTCACGGGTATTTAACGTGCATATTGAAGGGCTCGCCGTCTGACAGGAAGGCAAAAAAGCGATTGTCAGGAGGAGTTTACATGGGGCGAATCGAGGCAGGAGAAGACTACAAACCAAACAGTCCTTTCACAGCAGGGACCGCAAACACGACATTGTGTAGAACTCAACGGGATTTACGATGCGTGATATAAGGTGTGGTGGAGGGTTTGCTGGTCGCAGCCGATGGAGATGGCGGCGGCTCTTCCGGCTGTTTGCGTGAATTGATACTGGTCTGGATTTATACAAAGTCCCGTTAAAATTGCAGAATTCTATTAGTCGATGAGAATTTTAATGTGAATAAAAGAGCTGCTTTAACGTTGTAAACATGTGTTTCCAATTTTTTCGACGCGCGTGCGAGCAATCGACACGATCTATTTTTCAACTGCATTTTGACGGAAACCACGTGCTTTGTCCCTTTGCAACCCTTCCGTCCTCTAAACAGACACGTAGCCATTGGAAGGTAGCATGCCACTCGACCAAGTCAGCAAACGCTTAGCACCACAATTTCAACATGTGGAAGGGTCTTTGATAAAAAAAATCGCGGCGCGGGCAACCTCCCGGTCCATTTCTCTTGCCGGGGGTCTTCCACACGAATCCACTTTTGTCTTTCGCGGGGTTACGTGGGAGATGGACGATGGTAGTACTCTCACACTGAAAAATCGAGCGTTGACCGGGGGGACGGAGGCAGAGGACGGTGCAGCAGAGTTACCGTTGAACTACATGCAGGGGTCAGGCATGCCGGAATTATGCGGGGAGCTCCGGGCGCACATGCAACGATACCATACGCCAGCCTACGACGATTGGGCTGTAATTCCAACAACTGGGTCCACAGATGCCTTGACCAAATGCTTCCAATTGTTGATGCCTCCCCCCGGGAAGAAGCCCATCATTTTGTCGGAGTCCTTGGTGTGGGCAGCTGCCTTGGCCATCGCGGCCCCTTTGGGTTACGAAGTGCGAGGACTGGAGCTTGACAGCGATGGCATGTTGCCCAGTGCCTTGGATGTGGCCTGCCGACAACTGGCTAGCGAGGGGGAACGTGCCGCCTTCCTGTACTTGACCCCCCACGGACAGAATCCGACGGGCACCTCCTTATCACCGCAACGGAAACGAGACCTGTACGCCCTGGCGCAGGAGCACGACCTGATAATCGTGGAGGACGATCCGTACCGCCTTCTCTTTCTCCCCGCCGACCCGGAGGAGACGGGGGAAGCCGCCATGCCTGGTGTGATGGGCTTGCCCAAATCACTGCTGAGTGTGGACACGGACGGGCGGGTCATCCACCTAGAGTCTCTCTCCAAATGGGTCTGCCCCGGCCTCCGCCTTGGCTGGTTGACGGCTCCCAAGGCCTTTGTGGAAGGCGCGTACCGGAAATGGAACGAGCTGACGATCCAATTTCCTTGCACGGTCTCCCAGTCCGTCTTCTGTGCGATGCTCCGAGCGTGGGGTCAGGAGGGACTTGACCGCCACCTCCGACGTTTGCAAGTGCATTATGCCAAGCAACGCCGGGTTATGCACCTGGCAGCCCGACGGCATCTGCAGGGACTGGCCACCTGGGATTTGCCCAAGGCGGGTATGTTCATCCTGTTTAAAGTCCCCGCATTGAAAGGGAAAGGGAAAGCAGAGACCGACTCGGTCCTCGAAGAGTTGTTGGCGGAAGACGTCTTGATGGTACCGGGGTATGCCTTCGACCCGTCCCCTGAAAAGGCGGCCGAGCCCGCCTTTCGCGCAACTTACGCGACTGCGAGTCCAGAGAAGATAGAAGAAGGGATCGCCCGCTTCGGCAAGGCCGTGGCGCGTCTAACGGAGGGAATGAAGGAAGAGAGGGCGGAGGAGAAAACTGTGCCGGTGATGGATTGAGTGACAGTGGAAAATAATGTTTTCAGGGCGTAAATATTGATGATGGTACGGATGCCCAAGGTGGTGATTGGTGAATAGCGGACTGGCATCAATAGGGAGGGCGGAGGAGTGATGCTGTGAAGGAAAAAGGGTTCTAGAATGGAAGCGATGGCATAGCGGAGATAAGTCGACAGGACGACGCCAGCATCAGAAGAGCTCATAGCTTGCACTTTAAGATTTTGGGGTGGTTGGGTCTGCTACAAAGTTGAAGATCGTGAGATGGGATACTCCTGCAGAGTCGTGTCCGCGACTTTGATACGCCATGGTGTCCTTGAATGATGATATAAGAAAGATTCTTGTGCTCTCAATAGGCGAAGAAAGGGGCGAGAGCCAAGGTGCACATAATATGTCTAACAACGAGGGATGCGTGCTTGTAACAAAGAAACCGACAAGTGAGGTCATTACTCGACAAACGTCTCCATTTCTGGAACATCACATATGTGGGTCCATGAATATGGCCCTTCCGTGCATGTTCATGAGTCTGACAGAGAAGGTGCGATGGCAAGTGTTTCGATGCCCCCTTCAATTTTTCCTCCTCATTACTGCCCAAAGAGCCTCCAGCTCGTCGTGTCCTTTGTCATATTCACACAAGCTCGAGCTTCTCGGCAAGTTAGCTCTCCGTCTGCCTTTTAAACTTATACCTACACGCAAAGGACATACATCAGATTGAGCCCTTTAACGAACCTTTCCCTGATTTCCCACACTCACATGGCCACTTTATGGTTGCAGCCAAGACGGATTGGGATCACCTGCAGACCCTGTGATGTACGGTGCGGTCCCATCCTTGTCGAAACCATCCCCTTTCGCTCTCCCGGCACTTTCGGCGTCGCCATGGTCAGTGGAGGCGGCTCCCTCTTCTTGCGCGGCCAGTCCCTCACCTTGGCCCATTTCTCCACCCTCTTCTCTCCCTGCCGCGTTTACCGTCGCTGGTTCTGCGACAGCAGTGGCCACGGGCATGTCCTTCGAAGAGGAGTCGATAGGCAAGCAAAGGTATATCAGCGACATGGCCCCGGGGAATGCCAGGATGAATTTAACAATGAAAAATCCCCAGGCGTAGTATACGGTCGTTTGGAAGCCTTGCTCAAAAGGCGAAAGGGTGCACGAGCTCCCCGAACAGATGACACGGAAGGCAATTTCGGGGATGGAGTTCCAAATGAGGATGGCTGCCAGAGTGAAAGCTAAGTCGGCCCAGGCCATGCAGGTACAAAATATCTTGCAACCCCGTTGCACCTTCTCCAACCGGGCGCAGGACCCGCGAAGCGCCACGATAATCTGAAAGCATAGAGCAAGAAGGGCCAAAATGACGCAGGCGCGAGTGGCCTGAATCCGGTGAAACGCCGTCCCGTCCGCCTCGGTTGCTTCCGGCTCCCAATCTAGGTAACTCGCTTCGGTAGAGTAGGTCCCGGAGAAATTGATGCGCCAAAGGCCATAACGGGCATTTATCTTTATATCAACGGGTGAAGGAGCCTGGAACTTTACGAGCTGCCAGCCTACAATGTGGGAGTGCAGGAAGGGAGCCGTGCTATGTTAAATAATGAACAAGAGATGGTAAGAAAGGCACGTCGATGAATACCAAGGAATCCTTCTTCCATTCGATGGATGATTCGTGTCTTGACACGTGAGGTCTAGATTTATGATCTGTATCTTAACTTGGATATACCAAGCAAGGCATCCAAATGCTTGATGCGCTTAAGCCTGAGATATAGGACATGTGTGACTTCGACTTACCGTCCGTGAGTAGTCCAATCCATACTATAGCAAAAGAAAGAATCCAGGAAAGGCGGCCTGTACGTGCACAGCATATTCGGAAACAAAAATGCGAAATATGATCGTATTAGTGCTAGTGACCACTCAATGGACAGACATGCATATTCCAACACCCTGGAACTACTTACAAAATAAGAGAGCTTTATTTACGGCTTCCATGCGACTGAACCATCCGCACATTCCCATATTTGAATGCCTGCAGGAGGAAATAATCTGAGCTGACCACGATGCGTCTGAGTCGGTACGCACGACCACAGAAAACTGTGTAGCTTGAGCCTATTTGCGCGTTGAAGGCAGAGAAGGTGTAAGAAGGAACTACTTTGAGCGAATGACGTTAATAACATTTATCCAGCCTTCCTCATGGACCGCCAGCTACCCGGCCGCGCATCGCCACACCATGCGTTTCACAGTTTCGAGACAGGTGGGGACGTATGGGACATGGCAACTCTCCAGAAGCTACGTAACGGCTACCATTTAAAATTTTGAAAGTTTATGCGTGTGTCGAGCATACATCAAGCAAGCAATTTATGAATAGAAGTGGGCTAGAAAAATCGTTGAGCATGTATCGTTTTTAATCCACATTTTTATTCCTCGTAATCTCTTTTAACTTTGTTTTGCGGTGGGATTTCATGCAGCCTTTTATCCTCCAGCAATCGTGGACATGGGCAGGGGTACCTTCAGTCCTCTTTGTCCCTCCACGCTTCGTTAAAATTTTAAATACTTTAATTTTCACAGCAACTTATCATTATGAGTGCATTCTTTACTTCCGAAAATCCAAGACGGCCACCTTCCCTGATGAATAACAGGCCGCCAATCGCTCGCCACGTCTGTCCCAAGCAATCTCAAAAATGTCCCCACCCCCGTCTGAATTAGTACGAGATAAGCATGGAAATAGATAATGGGTAAAGCATAGAGTCAGATTGACTCAGAACCCAGCGAAGGAAAGCATCCTGCATAGAGCGCATGCTACTCTGCCCTCCGCTTCCTCCCCCAAACAAGAAGGCAATCAATGATCTTCGGCACCGATTTTCCCAATTCACTTAATGCTACTAAACCCCCCTCTTCTTTTCCTTGTGAGAGTCCACTTACGGAAACTGCGAACGATGCTTCCATCCTTGACGCTCCAGACATAGAGGGACCCTCCAAGCGCACCGGAGGCAATGTAGTCACCCGTCTTGTCGAATGCCATGGCATACACCGCCTAGAACATGGAAAGATGGGGAGATGTGCACAGGAAAAGCAATTTTTTAGTCCCACGTACACTTTCCAAACGTTTCACTCCCGCATCTTGTGTTGGTATCTTCCCGCGTTTTGTCTTTCTCTTTCTCTTCCCTTATTTTCTGCCTTTTCCCCATATTCATTTACTGTCGGTACCTTTGGATGTCTTGTCAGCGTAGCGACGCTCTTTCCAACCTCCACGTCCCACAGTTTGACTGTATTGTCGAAGGAAGCGCTGGAGGGAGAGGCAGGAGTGTGTATGTGAGAAGAGTGACCGCAAGCAGGGCCCGAGACACATTTTCAAAGACAAGCAGTGGCTTCCGACAGCACCTGTCAGTCTCACGTGGACCGTTTTATTGACTAAAACTTAGTTTTTCCTCTCAAGAGTCCCTTGTCCCTTGTGTTTTCCCCAAGTTGTCGTTTGCACGTTCTGTCTCCCATTGACTCCCACCTTGTCTCCCTTATGCCCTTCCTCCCTTTCTAGCTATTGTTCCCCTCTACTGACCTTGCAAAAAGCTTCTTCTTGTCCGGATTATCGCTCCCTGGCCCGGTGGGCGCCCATCGAATTGTGTAGATCTCCTTCTTGTGCTCCTTAAGGTCCTGCACGCAGGTAGGTGAGTCGGCCTGCCAAATCTGCCGACGGGCATGAGGACAAGGGGGAAAAAGGGGAATGAATGAATGAATGAATTTCATTTATTTCCCTGAACTCCTCCGGTAGCAATGGCCTCATCTTCATCCCGTACGCTGCTCCAATTCACGGCCTCTCTGGCCTCATTTCCACATCCCTCCGTCCCTCCCATTCTCTCCTTCCTTCCCTCTTTCCCTCCCTCCCTTCCTCCCTCTCCCTCTCCCTCTCTCTCCCTCCTTTCCTCTCGCCCCTTCCTACCTTGGCAGTGGTGTCATCGGAGCAGGAGGCGAGAAGAGTGCCCGTAGGATCCCAGGCGACCGTGTTGACCTCGTCCGTGTGGCCCTACCGGGGAAACCAACAAGGATGGAGGGACCAAGAAAGAAGGAGGCAGGAAAGAGAAGCGTGAGCCATGGTACGCGCCCCGTGCTGAACATGAACCCCGTCCCATGCCCTGTCCATCCAAAAATCCTACCCGGAACGTTTGCAAGGGCTCCGACCCCTCTTGCTTCAAATCCAAGAGCTTGATAGTCTTGTCCGCGCTACCAGTCGCCAACGACGTCTCATTCCGCCACGCCAGGTCCAAAATCGGTGCCTCGTGGATCCGGGCCCATTTCTTCAACGGCTGTCGCGCCCACCGGGGATTTGAAAGAGAGTGAGAAAGGTGAGTGAGCAGATCCTTCCATCCCTCGCCCTGGCTTCTGCCCTCGCCCCCGCCCTCGCCCCCGCCCTGTCTCCCGACCTGAGCCGTGGCCATGTCCCACACAACGGCGCTCTGGTCGTAGCTCCCACTCGCCACGTACGACGCCTGGGAGACATCAGTTAAAGGTTGCGTCAGACCATGAAAAAGACACTATTCTTGGTCCCTCTACCCCTCTGTCCCTCTCTCCCTGCCTCCGTCCCTCCCTCCCGTCCCTCCTGCTTACCGACGGGTTCCACTTCAAGGCAAAGATCGCCCCCTCATGGTTCGCCAGCGAGTGCTCCAGCTTCCCGTCTCGACCCCAGACCCTATCCAGCCACGTGATGCATGCGGGAGAATGAAAAGTATGCCCCAAGGGTGCGCTTCCCCCCTGGCCTGGAAGACAAGACGCTTGAAACCAGAAGCTCTCCCTACTCGGCGCCTTCCTCTGGGCCCCGTTTTCCACGATTCGGTCCACAAGCACGACCACCAACAGACAAACACAGGCCTCTGCTCTTTTTCCTTCCTCGCACATCCCTCCACCTCACGCGCTCCTGACCCCCATCGTCGTTTCCAAGCCCCTGTCCCTCCCTACCTGGCAATCCCATCGTAGCACCCTGTCAGCAGGTGCTCTCCATCCCGACTCCATTCTACGCACGTCACATCCTTGCTCTTCTCCGTCCCCTGAGGGAGGGAGGGAGGGAGGGAGGGAGGGAGGGAGTGAGGGAGGGAGTGAGGGAAGGAGGGAGGGAGGGAGGGTGCGATGGGAACGTAAGCTGTGGCGTGCCAGTTAAAGCGCTCAAATGATCACGCCTGGGTCCATCGTCCTTCTTCACTCCTCCCTCCTCCCCCTATCTTCTCTCCCCTCCTCTCGTCCACACATGCCACTTCTGCCGCGCTCCTATCCCTTCGCTTCCTGAAACCCCTCTGCTGTCCTCCCCTTCTTCCCCCCGGCCCCTCTGACCTACCTTCATGGCGTGGCGGAGGACGACGGGCTCTTCGTAAATGGGCCGCCCATTCTCGTCGGACATGATGACCGTCTGCCCCGGGAGTCGCCAGAGGAGGCCGGTGAAATCCCCGGACCTATGAAAATTCAAAAATAGCGACATGGG